CGCCGCGCGCGAGCGGCGACGCCGGCGACGCCGCGCGGCGGGGCGGGGACGACGCCCCGCGGCGGGGCGGGGACGACGCCCCGCGGCGGGGCGACGCGCCGGGCGACGACGCCGCGCGGCGCGGCGACGGCGAGCGCTCCGCCGGGAAGCCCGTCGGCGAGCCGCGGCGCGCCGCGAGGCGCGTCGGCGACGGCCGCGCGGCCGGCGACCGCGGCGGCGACCGCGGCCGCGCGGCGTTTGCGGCGGCGGCGCCGTCGTCGTCGTCGCTCGCGCGGCAGCGGGGCAGGGGCAGGGGCGCGTCGTCGAGGGGCGCGTCGCCGCCGTCGACGAGCTTCGCGCAGAGCTGCGCCGCGCGCGCGCGGAGGCCCGCGGCCTCGTCCTCGGCGGCCGCCGCGCGCGCGACGGCGTCGTCGGCGGCGCAGCGCGCGGACTCGCGCGCGGCGTCGAGCGCGCTCTCGGCCTCGGACATGGTGTGGATGGCCGGCGCGTCCGTCTCGAGCGTCTCCGGCGAGAGCGGGAACCTGGGCAGGACAAGAGTGCGAAATTCCCAACTTCAAAGGCTCCTCTCTCGGCCGTTTTCCACTCGTTTCGGCTAATTTTTGGACGAGCGATCATCTCTCGGAACGGTCTCGAAGCGTGGATGCTTTTTCCGGAACGCGCGCGCGTGGAACACTCACGTTGAAGCGACGTTGAATCACCCTTGTCCTGCCCTGGCGGGAACGACGACCCGAGGAGCGAGTCCGCGGGGAGCCGGTCGTGGTGCGGCGGCGACGGGCCGCCGCCCGCGCGGATCGCGTGGACGCGGCCCGGCGACGCCGCCCGCGGCGGCGACGGCGCGCGGCGGCCCGGCGAGGCCGCGCGCGGCGGCGACGGCGCGCGGCCCGGCGCCGCGGCGCGGCGCGGCGACGCGGATAGCGCGCGGCGCTCGAGCGCGTCGAGGCGCGCGCCGTAGTCGCGCTCGAGGTCGGCGATGGCCGCGACGACGCACTCGGACCGCTCGTCGGCGTGGCGCGTCGCCGCGGCGGCGACGTCGCGCGCCGCGGCCTCGGACCGCTCCGCGAGCTCGGCCAGCGCGTCGCACCGCCGGTCCGCGGCCTCCGCCGCGGCGCGGCACCGGACGCCCTCCTCCGTCGCGTCGCGCAGGGCCGCCTCGACGTCGTCGCCGAGGCTCGACGCGCCGTCGTCGTCGTCGGGCCGCGCGACCTTGACGCGCAGCGCGCGGTGCAGCGCCTTCTCCAGCTCGAGCACGCGCGCGCACGCGGAGCTCGCCTTCTCCTCGACGGCCGCCAGGCGCTCGCGGGGCTCGGGCTCGCGGCGGCCGTCGAGCAGGTCCGCCAGGCGGTCGTCGGCCGCCCTGCGCGCGGCCTCGGACTCGCGGAGCTCGCGCTCCGTCCGCGCGATGCGCGCCTCCGCGTCGATCAGCCGCGCCTCGAGCCGCGCGCCGTCCTCCGCGCGCGCCGCCCGCGCGGCCTCGACGCACCGCGCCTCCGCGGCCGCCATGGTCCGCGCCACGTCGGCCTCCTTGGCGTCGAGCTGGAGCACCATGTCGGACACGCGCCTGAGCTGGTCCTCGAGGAAGACGACGTACGCGTCGCGGTCGACCATGCGCTGCTCCGTGGGCAGCAGCGCGGGCTTGCGCCCGGGGCCCGGCGCGGCGTCCGCGGCGAGGTCCTCGGCGCCGAGGGCGCGCAGCGCGCCGCGCTCGACGAAGACGGCGTCGCCGGCGCGGCCCTGGGCGCGCGCCTTGCGCGTCCAGGCCTCGGAGTAGCTGCGCGTCGGCGCGTCCATCATCGCTGCGGTCGTGTTTGTCGGCCTTTTCGCGTTCGTATCGCGTGATCACGTTGCGGTCGCGCGACTAACTGGCATGCGTTCGGGCTGACCGTTCCCCATCGATTTGCCGACGATTTTGCCCTGAGGCAATTTGACAAAGATGAAGACTTCGAGCTGGTGCTGCCTCGCCGAGGCACTTGCCGAGGCCCGATGGTCGAGCAGCCCTTACCTCTTCTTCGCGCGGGAGAAGAGGCGGTCGAGGGCCGTGGACGTGTCCGCGGGCGCGTCGTCGCCGGCGGCGGCGGCGGCGCCGTCGCCGCCGGCCTTGCGCTTGCGCTTCTTCTCGCGGGCCTCGTCGGCGACCTTGTCGCGGAGCATGTTCGTCTCCTTGGAGATGACGTTCTTGAGGCGCTTCTTGAGCTTGGCCTTGAGCTTGGAGCGGCCGCGCGTCTTCTTCTTGTCCCTGATCTTCTGCTCGAGCTTGGCGTTCGCCGCGTCCTCGAGCGCGCGCTTGTCCTTCTTCGCGGCTTCCGGGTCGCGCTCGACCTGGCCGACGAAGTCGGCGCCGGCCAGGGCGATGGTCTCCGGCGGGAGCTTGTCGAGCAGGCCGCGGACGACGGCCGTCTTCCGCTGGTTCTTCGTGCGGAACGGGTTCTCGCCCTCGAGCGCGTCGTAGTTCGCCTCCGCGCTCCCGGGCACGAGGATCGAGTCGACGCCGCGCGCGTGGCCGACGAGCAGGGCGTCCTCGAAGGGCCGGAACCGCGCGGCGCAGGCCGCGACGCCGCCGGCGAGCGCGTGCGACAGGTACGGCGCGCACGCCTTCGCCTTCGTCGCGGACTCGTAGACCTCGACGCCGTTCGAGTGCGCGCAGGCCACGGCGAGCATGCCGCGCTGGGAGAAGTCGAGGGACGTCGGCGCCCGGCCCTTCAAGCGCGTCTCCCGCAGGGTCCGGAAGGTCCGCGCGTCCCAGATCTTGAGCAAGCCGTCGACGCCGCCGGTGGCCAGGTACGTACCGCACGCGCTGTGCGCCAGCGCCGCGACGCCGCCCCGGTGGGCGAGCACGCGCGCCAGGGGCTGCGGCGACGCCGGCGACCAGAGGGTGACGACGCCGTTGCCGTGGCCCACGTCGAGCACGCCGCTTTGGGGATTTTGGGCCAGCGAGTGCGCGGAGCCGAGGCGCGTCGCGTGCTCCGAGACGAGCGTCCCCGTGGACACGTCGTGGTACTTGAGGTAGCCGCTGTGGCCCATGGACGCGAGCAGGAAGTGGAAGGGCAAAAAGCTCAGGTGCTCGGGCTCGAGGTGCTGCTTCATGCGGTGGACCTCGGCGCCGGAGTCGTCGTAGACGTAGACGTACTTCTTCTGCGCGCAGGCGAACATGGTCTCGTCGTGGAGGAAGACGGCGGCGCGCACGCACTCGCCGGCGACGACCTCGCACTTGGGCGCGTTCGCGTGGAGGTCGAGCACCGCGGCGCGGCCGCCGTGGCCCGCGAGGAGCGCGTGGCGGCCCGTGCGGCTGAACGACACGCCGTAGGGGCCGAGGGTCAGCGGGTGCTTCCAGGCGTTGACGGCCGAGTTGCGCGACACGGCGCCCGCGATCTGTTCCTGTTTCACCTTGTGCGTGCGCTCCGTCTTCGACTCGGCCTCGAGCAGGCCGGACTCGTGGGCCTCGTAGTGCGCCGCCGCCTCGTTGTACGTCGTCCGCACGGCGGCGTCGCGCCGGCGCTGCTTGCGCATCATGGTTGCGTATGGTGTGGTGGTTCTCCCTATTGACTTCGGGCTCACCTCATCGCTGCTTGCCGATGCAATGTCGGCCTCATCATCCTAGGCTTGCACATGTCACACTTTGACTCGTGTTTAAAGCGCGATGGCAGCCCCGTGCGAATCGCCATAGCCGAAAGAAACGCAAGGATCCGGAGGTGCCGATCGTCGACGCACACTTCATCTAAAGCGCGATGGCTGCCCCGCAATCAACTCGCAATAGCCGAAAGAAACGCAAGGATCCGGAGGTGCCGATCGTCGCCGGCGCGCCGCTCGTCGACGCGACGTGCTTCGACGGCGCCTACGAGCTCCGCGTGCCCCGGGGCTGGCTCACGCCCGCCGAAGTCCGGGCCACGGGCCTGGACCACGGCCCGTTCGTGGAGCAGTTCGTCAGTCGGCGCCGGCACCAGGGTCCGGCTGGCGAGCGTTTTTCACTTGTACCGGACAACCGAGGACCTTCTTAGGTTGTTACGACGGCCCCGGCTTCTCGACGATCTTCGTGCGGCGCCGGCCGCGCTTTCCGTCGATGGCCGCGAGCGGCGGTCGCGACGGAGCGGCGCGGCTGATGGCCTACCTCGAGGACCAGGAGCTGGCCAACAACGCGACGTTCGGGCCCGTCGCCGCGTACGACGCCCCGCAGTTCGAGCGGGCCTGGGTCGTCGATTACGCGTCCGTCGGGCGCCTCGAGGGATTGACGTCGACGACGACGGCGCTGCTCGTCGAGGCGCCGGAGGAGGACGTGTTCCTCATGCTGAACAACGGCGAGAAGGAGGCCGTCGACTTCAAAGCCGTCGCCGCGTCGCTGCGCCACGTGCCGCGCAGGGTGTGCGCCGCGTGCGGGGGCAGCTCGTCGAAGCTCAGCCAGTGCGCCGCGTGCAAGACCGTCCTCTACTGCTCCCGGGCCTGCCAAGCGAGCCACTGGAAGCTGGGGCACAAGGCCGCCTGCCGGGCGGCGGTCGCAGCGCGCGGTGGCGCGTAAGACTCGGCTGGAGATGCCTCGGAGATTGACTGTCCGAAATCGCGGCACGGCGCGCAATTGACTGTCCAAAATCGCGGCACGGCGTGATGCGTGCCGGGCCGCGATTTCGGACAGTCAATTCGCAGTATCGGACAAGCCTCACAGCCCATTGCGCCAGTTTTTAAATAATTGCCACATGGGCTCAATCAAGCTGACCAGCCATCCCGAGGGCCTCAATAATCGACTGTCATCCCACACACCGCTGCCACACGAAAAAAAGCCTCCTGTCATATGAAGCTGTCACTCGCTCTAGTCCTGCTGCCCGTCGGCAATGCGTTCGTGGCGCCGCGCGCCGCCGCGCCGTCCCTCGCGCGGTCCACGACGGAGGACGTCGAAGCCGAAGCGCCGCCCGCTGCTTCCGACGACAGCCCGCTGACGACGATCCCGTCGCGGACGCGCAAGCCGCGCAAGCCCGCGTCGCTCAACGGCTGGGTGCCCGACTACGAGGCCTTCTGCTACGGCCTGCCCGGGTCGCTGGCGCCGCTGGGCGACTTCGACCCGCTCGGCTTCTCGCAGCGCGGCGTGCCGCTCAACGACGTGCGGCGCTACCGCGAGGCCGAGGTCATGCACGGCCGCGTGGCCATGGTCGCGGCCGTGGGCTACCTCGCCGGCGAGGCCGCGAGCCCCGTGGTCTGGAACGGCGCCGTGACGGGCCCCGCGAACGACCAGCTCGCGCAGATCCCGGGGCCGCTCTTCGGCGTCCTCACGCTCGCCATCGGCGTCGCCGAGACCTTCCGCGCGAAGCGCGGCTGGGTCGAGCCCAGCGCCGACGAGCTCTTCGAATTGCGGGCATCCTATTACCCGGGCGACCTGGGCTGGGACCCCGCGGGCCTCAAGCCGCGCGACGCCGCGGATTTCGCGACGATGGCCACGAAGGAGCTCCAGAACGGGCGCCTGGCCATGATCGGCGTCGCCGGCATGTGCGCCCAGGAGCTCGTCAACCACAAGACCATCGCCGAGACCGCCGACTTCTACGCCAAGTACTTCTCCGGCGCGGACCCGTACTCCGCGTGAGACCTCGCGCCCGTACCTAACCGTGCGACAAGGAAAACGCGGGTTTCTGTGAGCGGGGTATGCTGTGTTACGGCGCGCGGGCGAGTCGGGGTATGCCACGTTAGGGCGCGCCGCGAGCCCCGGGTCGCCTCGGGCCGGGGGCCGGCCGTCACGGGCCGCAGGGGCCGCAGCACGTCTCGCCGCGCCGGCGCCGCGGTCCGGCGCCGTCGCCGCGGTGTCCGGCGCCGTCGCGCGGTGCTCATTTCCGCTTGGCCTCGCCCGCGCGGTCCGACGTGTCGCCGAGGAGCATCTTCTTCGCGGCCTTGCCGATGAGGCTCGCCCAGTGGAACTGGAGCAGCGTCAGGCCGAGGTTGAGCAGGAGCACGGAGTAGACCACGGCGTCGGGCACGCCGTGGGACGGCGTCGCCGGGTCCAGCAGCGCCGTCGCGTCCCGCCAGAACGCGGCCGAGCACGGCACCCAGAAGACGACGCGGACGAGGAAGAAGGCGACGATGAAGGCGTAGCGGATGGCCTCGTTGGTTTGCGGGTACGCCTCCGCGAGCGCGGGGAAGTCGCGGAAGGCGTCGACGAGCGCGAGGAACGGGCTCGACGTCTCGATGACGCCGAGGAAGTAGACGGCGTAGTAGTAGAAGCAGCGGTACTTGAGGACCACGACGGCGAGGTAGAGCACGGCGAAGTGGTGGGCGATGAAGGTCGGCACGCGCAGGTCGTCGACGCTCAGGGACACGGGGATGTCGTAGAGCTGCACGGCGAGCATCGACACGACGATCGCCTCGGCGCCCGCGTGGAAGCCCCACGTCTTATCGAAGCCGTCGCTTAATGTTTCGTCCGCGAGCCAGAGGTAGTCGCCGTAGGCCGCCATGCCGACGAAGCAGATCAGGAATGGCACGTAGTGGGCCATGACCGCGGACTTGGCCTGGAACGCGCCCGTCGCGTACGTGCGGAAGAGCTTCGAGCACGCGCCGTGCACCGCGGCGAGGAACAGCAGCTGGTACTGGAGCCTACGAGGTGCGGGGAAGTCGGGGGCGGAAAAGCGGGGGCGTCGTTTGTGTGCTCCGGCGCGACGGCGAGCCCTCGCACGTTTTGTTTCGACGCTCGAGTTTTGAATGTCGGACGCCGTTTCGCACTGGGGGAGGTGGAGGATCTCCGTCGCGGACATGCCCAGGACGTCGTCCGGGCCCGGTAAAGTTTTTTTACCATACCCAAAGTACTCGCTCCACGTCGACATCGTCGCGCGAAACTGCTTGGATTTGGATAGGAGGCGCGAGCTGTGGCGAGCCGCCCTGAGGACTGCCCTGGCGGGCCAGCGACCTCGCCGCTCGGACGACGTCGTCCGCCCTTGAACGCGTCGAGTCCAGCGGCTGGAGCAGTTGGTAGAGCGGTGGTCGCGCTGTCGCCCTCGGAAAAAATATGGCCTGGCGGTGCAGAGGTTAAAGGAGCGGGATTGCGGCGCTAGCGCTTGAATTTGGGCTTCGCGGCCATGCCGAGGCTCGCGAAGAAGTCGTCGTCGGACTCGTCGTGGTAGGAGCTCGCGGAGGAGACGGCGCGGCGCGGCCCCGTCGCCGGCGGGAGGGGCGTCGTCGACCGCGGCGGCGCCGGCGGCGCGCTGAGGCTCGCGGTTCGCGCGACTTTCTCGTAGGGCGACTTCGCGGGCGTCGCCGGCGCGAGGCCGTCCTCGGCGTCCCAGCAGTCGTTGAGGATGTCGTCGAGGCCGTCGGCGCCCCAGACGTCGTCGTCCAAGATCTCCTCGACCTTGGACGCGTACTTCTTCGGCGGCGACGCGGGCGGCGGCGGCGACGCGGGCCGCGGCGTCGTCGACCGCGACCGGGCCGGCTTCGCGGCCGCCGGCCGCGGCGGCGGCGACGCGTCGCCGCCCTCGAGGTCGTCCCAGTCGTCGTCGAGGTCGTCGGCGACCATGGGCACCTTCTTCGCGACCGCGACGGGCGCGGCGCCGCGGCCGCGCCGCGGCGGCGGCTTCCGCGGCTTCGGCGACGGCGCGGGCGGCGGCGGCGCGGCGGCCTTGCGGCGCCGGCGGTAGCAGAGGCGGCAGCCGCAGAGGAGGAAGCAGGCGAGGGCGAGGCCCGCGACGAGCTTCGCCGGCTCGAGGTACGCGAGGCCGAGCGGCGACGTCGCGGCCTCGTGGCGCGCGGCGTGCTTCCGAGCGAGCACGTCGCGGTAGCTCTCCTCCGGCGGCGCGGCGTCGGGCGCGGGGGCGTCGGGCCGCGCCGCGGGCGCGGCGCGCGACCAGTCCTGGAGCGCGGGCGCGGCCTCCGCGGCCGCCGGCGCGGGGTCCGCCGCCGGCGCGGGGTCCTCCGTCGGCGCGGGGTCCGCGGGCGGCGGGTCCTCCGCCGCGACGGGGTCCTCCGCCGCGACGGGGTCCTCCGCCGCGACGGGCTCCTCGGCCGCCTCCGCCTCGAAGGCCGGGGGCTCGTCCGTGGCGAAGGGATCGTGCGCGGGCTCCGCGGGCTCCTGCGGCGCGTCGAAGCGCGCCGACGCCGCCGCGGCCGCGGGCTCCTCCGCCGCCGCCGCGTCGAGGACCGCGGGCGCCGCGCCGCGCTCCGCGAACGCGACGCCCGGCAGCTCCGCGGCCGCGGCGACGCGCGCGTCGAGCGACGGTTCGTGCGCAAAGGCCGCGGGCGGCGGCGGGTCCGCGTCCTCGCCCTTGGCGCGGTGGTAGTCGTGCATGGCGCCGACGATGGCGTGGATGTCGTGGCCGTCGAACTCGCCGGGGTGGTTCGCGGCGTGGTCGTCGAGCTCCTCGGCGGGCTCCGCCGGCGGGCGCACGAGGACGACGGGGGGCTCCTCCGCGGGCGCCGCGGGCGATTCGACGGGCTCGGCCTCCGGCGGCTCGGGCACCGGGAGCTCGGGGATGGGCGCCGGGTGCTCGTCGTTTTCCACGGGCTCCGGGAGCTCGGGGATGGGCGCCGGGAGCTCGTCGTGCTCCGGCGGCGGGAGCTCGTCGCGTACCGGCGTCTCCGGCTCCGCGGGCGGCTCCGGCTCCGCGGGCGGCTCGGGAACGACCTCGAGCTCGTGCGCCGCGTCGTGCTCCGGCATGGCCGGCGGCTCGTCGTGGTGCGGGTCGTGGTGCGCCGCGTCGGCCGGCGCGTACCCGAAAGCCTCCGCGTCCGGCTCCGCGGCCGCCGCGGCCGCCTCGGGCGCCGGAATCTCCGCGGGCGCCGCTTCGGCGACGACCGGCGCCTCCGCCGCCTCGGCGACAACAACCGGCGCCTCCGGCGCCTCGGCGGCGGCCGGCGCCTCGGCGGCCGCGGCGTTCGCGGCGACGAGCGCCGCGTTTCGCCGCTTGAGGATCTCCGTCGCCTCCATGATCCGCCGCACGGCGTCGGCGTTCGCGTCGCTCTTGAAGGCCGACATGCGCTGGCGCGTCTCGTCCAAAAGCGACGCCGTCGTCGCCGCCGCCGCCGCCCGCGAAGGCTGCGGCGCGGCGCCGGCATCGCTCGCCACAGGCGCCAGCGCCGCGGGCGTCCCGAGGCTCAAACTGGCCAGCGCCGGCGTCGCATCTTGCGCCGCGGCGATCGACGCGCAGGCAAACCCGAGTATTCGCAGCATCCTCGCGTCGCGGTATTACAAATTACACGCGGCCCATCATGACCGGCGGCCCATCATGACCGGCGCATTTTACCACAGCGAGCCGCTCGAGCCCGCTCGGACACAAGCTCCTGCGCGCGCGCGGGTGGTACATCAAACGCAAGGTAAATGGCCTACCCCAGCCGCCACACCCCACGTCGCGCCCAAAGCCAAGGGGCGTATCCAACGCCATCGATGGTGGTGCGCGTCGCGACCACGGACTTGTACGCCGCGGCCGCGGCGCCCATCGCGGGCGCGCGGCGGCGGAACGCGAGCATTCGCTGCCGGCCGCTGGCGGGCCTGCCCCCGGACCTCGCGGCGCCGCGGGGATGGCCAGCCATCTAGAGCTCATTCGGCTAGCATACGAGGGACGCAACTTGAAGAAGTGTTGAAGGTTACCTTGCCGTCCGAGAGAACAGCCGCACCGAGAGCCTTGATCGCACCGAAGCAAAAGAAGCCAGTCGATTCTCGATCTTTGTTCGCAGCCCCTGCGTTGACACCCTAGCCCGTACACGAATTCCGCACCCCGCCGCGCCGTAGGCGACCGACATCAAAAATGCCCAGCAAAATGGAGATCAGCGAAACCGAGTGCCTCAAACTCAGCAAGCTGCTCGACCAGGCGTCGATCCCCGTCAAGAATCCGCGTCCCGGCGCGCGACGCCGCCCCCATCTTGCAGCCCAGCGCGCGCGCGCGGCGCGGCGCGAAAGATCCAAAAACGCTCGCAGGACTCCTGCAAGGAGTACATCGCGAAGAACGACAAGATCAAGGACGCCTGGGCCGGCGCGTCGCAGAAGGACCGCCTCCGCCGCAACCACACGCAGCTGCAGCGGCGGTTGACGTCGTCGAGGCAGTGAACCCGGGTCACTTCGCGCGCGCCGCGACGCGAGAGTTGAAGAGCCCGCGCGCCGCCGGCGCCCGACGAAGACGCCTCGCCCTTCCCTAGGAGCCAGCAGCGGCGCCCGACGAAGCCCATCATCGCGAAATCCTCCTGAAGCCCCGCCTCTTTCTGTTGATCCGCCCCTCGAAACGCGGCGCCGTTCCGGCCGTCGCGCCACGCGACCGCCGCGCGAACGCGCGCGCGCTCTCCCGAAATCGCGCCGCATAAAAACCCAAAAAAGAGACTTACGGCGACGCGACGACGTGGAGCACGGTCGTCGGCGGGCCGGCCTCCGCGGCGAGGAGCGCGAGGTGCGCCGCGGGCCGCGACTCCTTGGACGCCATCTTCTTCGCGTGCCACGCGGCGCGCTTCTCGTCGTCGAAGTCCGTCGCCCAGGCGACGCCGGGCACTGCGACGAGGAGCGCCCGGGCCTTGGCCGGGTGGACCTTGGCGAGGGCGTGGATCGCCGAGACCTCCTCGACGCCGCCGGCCGCGCCGGCGTGGAGCCCCTCGCCGACGAGCGGGAAGCCCAGGAGCGCCAGCGACGGCACGCGCCAGAGGGCGAGCGTGTTCCAGGGCGTCGTGACGCCCGTCAGGGGCCGCTCGCCCGGCGAGAAGTCGTGGCCCGGCAGCGCGGCGCCCGCGACGAGCGCGTCGGCTCCGTCGAGCTCCGCGCGGAGGCGCCGCGCCGTCGCCGGGTCCGCGGCGGCCTCGACGGAGGCGAAGAGGATGAAGCCGTAGCCCCGGCGCGCCGCGTGGGCCGTGAGCGCGTTCAGGGCCGGCAGGAAGTTGCCCCAGGGCTCGACGGGCACGACGTCGACGGGCGCGGCCGCGCCCGCGCACGCGGCGCGGACGCCGGCGGCGAGCTCGCCGAGGGCCTCGAGCGTGCGCTCCTCGACGCCGGGCACGCCGACGGCGATCGCGACGCGGTCCACGGCGGGCGCGACGCGGTCGACGAACGCGCGGACCTTGGACAGGTCGGGCGGCCGCGACGCGTCGCCGACGTGGAGCCGCGTCGCCGCGATGGTGTCGGCGGCGCGGGCCGGCGCGAGCGCCGCCATGCGGGGTGGCGTCGGCGGCTCCGGCGGCGCGCGCTCCGGCGGCCGTCGACCGTGGTGCAGCAGGAAAGTGAGGGCGGTGACGGCGACCCAGGCAACGAGCAAAAATGCGACGAGCCGGCGCGCGCGACGAGGGCGGCTGAACAGGCGACGGATCGTGCAAGGCTGTGGCACCGGGCGGCAGGGACGGGGCAAGCGCGCGCCGGTTGAACTTTTAGTTGAACTCGGTTGAAGCAAAAAAGTCAGTGTGCAAAAACACGCGATGTCTCGTGGCTTGCTGCTGCCGGTGCTGCTGCTGCAGGGCGTCGCCATGGCGCTGACGAAGCCGCAGATCTCCCTGCAAAAGCTCAAGCAGCCGCGCAGCAGCGTCGCCGTCGGCCGCGGCGGCGCGCTCGCGTCGGCGCCGGCCCCGGCCGAGGAGGCGCCGGGCCTGCGGGGCCTGCTCGTGCGGCACCGCACGCCGCTGCTCTTCGGCGCGCTCGTGACCCAGAAGGTGCTCGCGGACACGCTGACGGACATGACGCGGCGCGCGGGCGCCTACAGCGGGTCGACGGTGTCCATGCTCTCGGAGGTCGCCAAGTTCCCCGTGCTCGCCGTCGCGATCGTCGTCTTCGGCGGCGGCGCCAAGCGGCTCAAGCCCACGGTGGTCCGCGCCTTCCGCGACACGCCGCTCAAGATCGCGTGGATCGCCGGCGCCTACGCGGCCCAGAACGTGCTCTACTTCGCCGCGCTCGGCCGCATCTCCGCCGCGAGCTACCAGGTCCTGAGCCAGTCGAAGATGATCTTCACGGCCATCCTGGCCGTGACCATGCTCGGCCAGCGCCTCGGCCCGCGGAAGCTCGTCGCCCTCGCGTCGCTCCTCGCGGGGTCGCTGCTCGTGCAGCTCTCGGAGATGGGCGGCGCGTTCGGCGAGGCGGGCGCCGACGCGCTCCTCGGCGGCGGCCTCACGGTGCTCGGCGCTTTGCTGAGCGCCGTGCCCAACGTCTGGTACGAGAAGATCCTCAAGACGGAGGGCGAGGACGAGTGGGCGCGGAACATCCAGGTCACGTGCTGGATCTTCCTCTGGATCGCCGCGTCGCAGCTCGGCTCCGCGGCCTCGGCCTTCCGCGCGGGCGTCCCCGGCGCCGTCGCGCCCTGGGCGTCGCCCTACGCCTTCGGGTCGTCCATGATCGGCTCCATGGAGGGCATCACGCCCGCGGTCTGGGCCGTCGTCGCGCTCAAGTCCCTCAACGGCATCCTGATCCCCGCGACGCTCAAGTACGCGGGCAACCTCGTCTACCTCTACGCCAAGCCCACGTCCATCGTCGCGACGGCGCTCGCCGCGGCGGCCTGGTCGGGGGCGCCGCCGCCGCTCGCCTTCTCCGCCGGCGCCGCGCTCGTCATCTACTCCATGCTCCAGTGGGCGAAGAAGGACTAGGGCAGACTCGGATTAAAAAGCACGTATCTCGATTACGAGCGCAGCGCGGTCCGCATGGCGACGATGTTGCCCGCCGCGCCCGGGTGGCTCGGGTCGCAGGCGAGGGCGTCCTCGAAGTTGCGGAGCGCGTCCCGGAGGTTGCCGAGCTCGACGAGCTCCACGCCGAGGTTGCAGTGGTAGTCCGCGAGCTCGCGCGGCGCCACGCAGAGAACGCCGCCGGCCGTCGCCCGGTCCACGGCCTCGGCGAAGACGTCGCGCGCCGCGTCGTGGATCTTGAGGTCGCCGAGCAGCAGGCCCAGGTTGTTCAGCGGCGCGGGCTCGCGCGCGTCGAGCGCCGCGGCCGTCTCGAGCGCCGCGACGGCCTCGCGGAGCACGGCGGCGTCGCCGCCGGCGGCCTTGGCGAGCGCGCAGCCGAGGTTCGTCCAGGCGACGGCGTGGCGCGGCGCCAGGTCCACGGCCTCCGCGTACGCGGCCGCCGCCGCGGAGAAGTCGCGCCGCTCGAGGAGGACCTGGCCCCGGCCGCAGTGCGGGAGCTCGTTGGACGGCCCCGCGGCGATGGCGTGGTCGTAGAGCCGCAGCGCGTCGTCGAGGTCGCCCCGCAGGCGCCGCGCGTCGCCCTCGTTGGACAGCGCGCGCGCGGGCTCGAAGACCGCCGCGCTGTCGACGAAACAGACCAACGCGTACCTCACGCCCGATTCGACCTCGGCGCCCGCGTGCCGGACCTCGCCCGCGTGGCAGCAGACGTGGCCCACGTCGTAGCGCAGCGTCCGGCCCAGCGGTTCCACGTGCGTGCCGCCGCCGGCGTAGGCGTCGAGCGGATTCAAAGCGACGACGGCCGTGAGGAGCGTGCCGTCGCGGTGCGCGCCGAGGTACGACTGGCCCGCGGACGCGTTGTACTTCAATATCTTCGCGTCGAAGACGCGCAGCGCGTCGCGGGCGGCGGCGCCGGCGCCGACGGCGCCGGGGAAGCACTGTTGCAGCAGCGGAAAGAGCGACTGGCGGCACGCGGCCTCGAGCCACTGGCGGCCCTCGGGCAGGTCCTCGACCTGCTGCACGACGTCGCGCGCGTAGCGGAACTCCTGCTTCACCCAGCGGCCCGCCCGCTCGGCCTCGGCGACGAGCCAGCCGCACTCGTCGGCGCTGAAGAGCGGCGCCGCGGTCACCGCGGCGCACGGGCCGTCGGCGAAGCGCCGCGGCGGCGGCGCGCCGTCGGCGTTTTCCGGGAAGGCGTGGCGCGTCACGTCCACGGGCAGCGCGACGACGTCCTCCGCCGCCTCGCCGTCGGCGTGCCACGTGCGGAACGCCTGCGCGCCGCGGGCGTAGGCAGCGTCGTGCTTGCGCTCCAGGGCCTCGATGGCGGCGTCGACGGCCGCGCTGCCCGGCGCGGCGGCGCGACGATGCTGCGGGGCCGGTCGCGCGACGAAGGCCGCGCAGAGCTGGAGCGTGAAGAGCAGACCGGCACTGAGTCGAGCCATCGTCTTCGCTCGACTGATAGTGAAGTGATGTTGAGCTCAACGAATTAACTTTCAACGATGGGCTGCCATCTCCAATAACCTCGCACGCATCGACGACCGACCTCCGTGCTCGAGATGCAGGAAAAGCGGCCGATGGGCTGCCGTCTGAGCGCCATCGTTGTGCTCTTCTCGATAGGCACGCGCGCGGAGTATTTCTACCCCGCGATCGACGAGGCCGAGCGCTGGGACGACGTCGTGAAGCCCGTCGTCGTGCGCGGCTACGGTAGCTCCTGCGAGGCGGACGAGACCTGCGCCGCCGCGCCGGGGCTCGACGCCTGCGTCGCCGGCGCGGGCGAGGAACGCTCGCTCGGCTCGCCGGGCTGGCGGAGCGCGTCGCGCTACGACGTCCGCGACGAGGTGCACGTGCAGCGCGCGGGCCAGACGCGCGTCGTCGTCGCGCCGCCCACGCGCGACGTCACGCGGCGCACGGGCCTCGTCCCGCGGCTCCACGCGCACGCGGGCGAGACGCTCGTGCCCCTCGGCGCCGCGGCGGGCCTCGGCGAGCACGCGCGAGCGGCGATCTTGTACCCGGGCGACGCGTTCTTCATTCCCGCCTACTGGCTCCGCGAGAAACGAGCGCTCAACGACAGCTGCTCGCTGTCGACGTACGCCGAGTCGGCGAGCGGGCGGGCGGCGGACGGCGTCGCGTCCGTCGCCCTCGACGGCCTCTTGCTCGAGCGCTACACGCCGGCCATGCGGAGCCGCCTGCTCACGCGGTTCCTCGCGGCGCTGACCTTCGAGTTCCAGCTCGACCGCCTGAAGATCGACGACCTCGGCGAATGGATTTTGGGAGACCGAGTCGCGTGGATGCCCTCGGACGGCGACGACGAGTTGGACAAGCTGTTTCGCTGGGCGTGCATCGACGAGACGGCCCCGTGGCGCGACGAGCAGACCAAGGACACGGAGCTCCTCGTTCGGAAGACGGCGAACGACGCGACGGCGTTCTTCCGAGGGCAGCCCGTGCGGCCGTTCGTACGGGCGCTCATCTTGCTCGACTACATGGAAATCGTCGTCGACCGGGTCTTCGGGCCGGGCGCGCTCCCCGGCTACGCGAGGCACTGCGTCGTGGGCTACGGCCGCATCCGCCAGGCCGCGACGCAGCGTGGGACGAAGGTCCTCCGCGACGACCACCTCCCGCCGCAGACGCGGCCGCGCCTCCCGCCCGTCGGCAAGGTCGGCGACGGCGGCGACGCCCCGCGCCGGCGGCCGGACACGTCGGGGGTGATCTAATTCAGTCCGCAGCCTGAGGTTCAAGCTGTGGTGGTGTATTTCTGTTGTATTTCTCGACTCGACCGCACGAGTGTCTCGGTTCAAGTTGTGGTGATGCACTCGTGCTTGCACTCGGGGTTGCATTTCTCGGCCCAGCGATGGCCGAAGTCCTCACCGCAATCGACCTCACCAAGCTGCACATCTCCACGACCGATGCCGCGGCAGCACGCAACGAGGCGGCCTGGGCCTGGTACGCGTCCATCGGGTCGCCGAAGCTCTTCGTCGCGCCGCTCGTGGGCTACTCGGAGCCGGCGTTCCGCGTGCTCTGCCGCACACTCGGCGCGCAGTGCTGCTCGACGCCCATGATCGACGCCGCGGGCTACGCGGCGTCGCCGCGGTACCGGGCGGAGTACGCGTTCAGTGGCGGCGCCGCGGACCGGCCGCTCACCGCACAGCTCGGCGGGTCGGACCCCGCGGCGCTCGCCCGGGCCGCGGCGCTCGTCGCGGCCACGGGCCACTGCGACGCCGTCGAGCTCAACATGGGCTGCCCGCAGCGCTGCGCGAAGAAGACGGGAAGCGGCGCCTTCCTGATGGAGGACCCCGCGCGCGCGGTCGCGTGTATAAAAGCGATGCGCGCCGCGCTCGACGCGCACAACGCGGGCCGCCCCGCGGGCGCGCCGAAGGTGGCCTGCGTCGTCAAGATCCGCTGCTTCGACGACGTCGCGCGGACGCTCGCGCTCGCGGCGGCGCTCGAGCGGGCGGGCGCGGAGATGCTTACCGTGCACGGGCGGACGCGCCACGCGGGCGGCGGGCGGCGCACGGCGGCGCAGCTCGCGAACTGGGACTGGATCCGCGCCGTCAAGGAGCGCGCGGGCATTCCCGTCATCTCGAACGGCAACGTGCGCCACGCGGCGGACGTCGCCGCGTGCTTCGAAGCGACGGGCGCCGACGGCGTCATGTCCGGCGTCGGGTGCCTGCGGCGGCCCCACGCCGTCTTCACGGCCCGCGCCGTGTCGAGCCGGCGCGACGTCGCGGCCATGTACTGCGACGCCGCGGCGGCGACCTCGGCGACGCCGCGCCAGGTCCACGCGCACCTCGTGGGGAAGCTCGCGCTGACGAGCGCGGCCGCGCTCCGGCGGGCGCCGGACCTCAGGGCCCTCCTCGGCGCGCTCGACACGGCCCACCCCTGGGCGACGACGGGCACGACGCCCGCGGCGCTCGCGAAGATCTTCCGCGACCTGCCCGACGACGGCGGCGACGACGACCGCGCGTCCGACGACGAGCACGGCACGCCCGTCGACGACGGCTGCGGCGGCTGGCAGAAGGTCTGGCGCGATAAGCGATTTTAGTAGGCGTGTTACTGGATAGCGTCGAGGAGCCGCTGCTTCAGGACGGCCTTGAGGCCCGACGTGTCGAGGCTCCGCGTTTCGAGCTCGCGCTTCAGCACCGCCACCGTCATCTTCCCCACCTCCGCCGCGGTGAGCGTCTCCTCGGGCGGCGGCGCGGCGGCCTCGGGCTCCGGCTCGGGTGCGGCGGGCGGCTCGGGCGCGGCGGGCGGCTCGGGCGCGGCGGGCGGCTCGGGCGCGGCGGGCGGCTCCGGCGCCGCCGCGGCGGGCTCCGGAGCGGGCGGCTCGGGCGCGGCGGGCTCCGGAGCGGGCGGCTCGGGCGCGGCGGGCTCCGGGGCGGGCGGCGCGGGCGCCGCGGGCTCCGGCGCCGCGGGCGGCTCCGGTGCGGGCCCCGCGGGCGGCCGCGCGGGCGCGGCCGCGGCGGCCGCGGCCGCGCGGTCCTCCGGGTGCATGACGTCGCCGTCGTCGTCGTCGTCGTCGTCGTCGTCGTCGTCGTCGCCGTCGACGCGGGCCCGCTTCGCCGACCCGGCGTCGCCGCCGTCGCCGGGCTTGCGCTTGCGGTCGCGGCGGTCGTCGACCTTGACCGTGTAGAGGCGGGACGACTTGCCGACGCGGAACGACGCGCCGGGAGCGAGGCGCGCGGGCGTCTCGGGCTTGAGCCGGGCCATCTTCTCGCCCGGCGCGGGGCTGACGCCCGTGCCGTGGGCCGACCCGAGGTCGACGAGGTACCACCCCTTGTCGCCGCCGGGAGGCGCGCCGTGGATGACGACGACGTGCTGGCGGCTCACGGACGCGTGCTCGAGCGTGATGTGGCAGAGCTCGGGCTGGCGGCCGAGGACGAAGCAGTCCTTCTTGTACAGATCGATGGTCTGCACGGCCTTGCCCTCCTTCGTCGCCACGAGCAGCGCCGGCGCGCGGCCGTCGATCCAGTCCGGCACGACGTACTTGCCGAGCTTCGTGCCCGGCGGCGTCGCCGCGGCCGGCGCGCGCTTCCGCCGGTCCGCGTCCTTGGCCCGCTGGGCCGCCTCGCGCGCGGCGACCAGCTTCTGCTTCTCGCCCTCGAGCTCGCGGACCATGAGCTTGACGTCGCGGATGCTGAGCTCGACTTGCGCGAGGAGGCCCTGCGTCTTCTCGTCGCGGTTGTTGCTCGACAGCCGCACGGCGAGCTGCGCGCGCTGCGACTCGCACTCGGCCTGCTTGGCGCTCAAATCCTCGATGAGCTTCGTCACCTCCGTGACGCTCACGAGCGACGCCGCGCGCAGGGACGACATCGGTCGGTGTTGCGATGGGTTGCGCGCGGGCGGCGCGACGACGGCGAGGTTTCGCGGCGCTCCCGGCTCGACGACGGTGCCGGTGTGTCGGAGGAGAGGCGTCGCGGGTGGCGGCGGCGCGGGGCTACGGCCGGCGCTCGACGGCGCGCGCAGTCGCGGCGGGCGGCGGCGAGCAAGGCGAGTGCGACCTCTGCGGCAAGACGATGGGCCGCGCCGCAGCGCCGTGATCTGATCGATGCGCGGCATGCTGCTCCTCGCCATCGCGCGCTCCTGCGCGCCGCTCGCGCGACCGCTGCGGCGCCTGAAAACGGGAGGCGCCGCGCTGCGCGCGAGCCGCTCCACGGCGACGACCGACGACTTCGTCGCGGACCCGGCGGGCGCCGCGCGGCGCCGCGCGCGGCTCGACGCCGCCCTGCGCGACGTGGGCCTGGACCCGGCGTCGCTCGACGACGACGCGCGGCTGCGAGGGTCGTCCGCGCTGCGGACGTACCGGAGCTTCGTGCTCCCGAAATCCCTCGGCGCGCTCGCGACGGCCGAGGCGCCGCAGCGCGCGGCGACGATCGCGAACCAGGTCGCGTTCCAGGCGCGCGAGGCCGTCGCGGCCCACGAGGCCTGGCTCGTCAACGTCGACCGCGCCGCGGCGGAGCGGCCGGCGGAGCCGCCGCACGACCTCACGGTGATCCTCGACGGCCTCCGGAGCGGCGAGAACGTGGGCAACGTCATCCGCACCTGCGAGACGGCGGGCGCGAGGGTGCTCTGCTGCGGCACGACGCCGGCGCCGCCGACGCCCGCGGTGCTCAAGGCCGCGTGCAACGCGGCGCCGTTCGTCGACGTCCGCCGCGAGCCGTCGACGCTCGACGCCGTCCGGGCGCTCCAGGGGCGGGGCGTCGCGGTCTACGCGCTGGAGACGACGCGGGGCAGCGTCCCGCTCTACGACGCGGACCTGCCGGCGCCGCTCGCGCTCGTCTTCGGCAACGAGCTCGTCGGCGTGCACCCGGACGTGCTCGCGGCGTGCGACGGCGTCGTGAGCCTGCCGACCTTCGGCGTCAAGAACAGCCTCAACGTCGCGTCCTGCGCCGCCGCCGCCGTCTACGAGGTCGTGCGACGGTGGCGGTCGTCCTAAGTTTATGGACGTCAACATCACTGCAACCTTCAACAAAATCGACGTTCTCGTCCTCGCGGCACTCGAGCTCTGGCGCGCGAGTTCGTAATGGCCATGCTCAAGATGGCCATGCTCAAGGTTGTGTGCGCCGCGCTCGTCGCCTGCGCCGCCGCGACGTCGATGGACGGCGGCGGCGGCGGCGCGCCGCCGCCGCCCGCGCCGCCGGCGGCGGACGTCGAGGCGTCGCCGCTGGCGACGGACGACGCGGCGCCGCCGCCGCCCGCGCCGCCGCCGGCGGAGGACCTCGAGGCGTTCCCGCTGGAGGACGAGGCGCTGACGGACGTCATGTCGCGCGCGGCGGGCGAGAACGAGGCGAACGCGTTCCTGCAGAAGCAGGCGCGGCGGGACGTGCCGGTGCCGACGGCCGACGACGTCGCGTCGCTGCGGCTGAAGCCGCGCGTCGTGTCGTTCAACGTCATGGTGTCGGGCCTGTCCGGGCTCGGCAAGACGACGTGCTGCGACATGCTCTTCGAGCACTGGCACCGGCGGGACCAGAAGAAGCCGCGGCGCCACAGCGCGTCGCTCGGCGACCGGCCGCAGATCCACCACAGCACGAAGCACGTCGACGTGAGCCGCTGCTTCGAGCGCTTCGACGAGGCGACGAACACGATCGTCCGCGTCAAGGTCATCGACACGCCGGGCTTCGGCAACGCCATCGACCACAAGCACGCCGTGCGGCCCATCCTCCAGTACATCGACCGCTGCCGCGCGGAGCAGTTCGAGTGCCAGATGGGCGCGCGGCCCGGCGACGAGGAGTACTCCTACGACTGCCTCGTGCACTGCTGCATCTACTTCATCCCGCCGCACCGCTTCCTCGACATCGACCGCCACTTCCTCCAGCAGGTCCAGCGCGAGCTCGCGATCGCGCCCGTCGGGGCGGGACACGAGCGCGACGCGCCCGACTTCAAAGGCTCCGCTCTCGGCCGCGTTCCACTCGTTTCGGCCGACGTTTGGGACGAGCGATCGTCTCTTGGAACGGCCTCGACGCGTGGATGCGTTTTCCGGAACACACACACGCGGAACACTCGCGTCAAAGCAACATCGCATCTCTCCGTTCCCCTTGCGTCGAAGCGACGTCGCATCTCCCCGTTCCCCGCGCAGGTGCCCGTCATCGCCAAGTCCGACACGCTCACGGACGACGAGATCACGGAGTACCGCGCGCTGCTCCGCGCGGAGTTCGACCGCGCGCGCATCGCCATCGTCGACTTCGACGCGGCGCCCCACTCCGTCTTCGGCGACCGCACCTTCGCGCGCGGCCGCGCCAAGGGCGACCCGCTCGGCATCGTCGCGCGCGACGGCCACTACCCCTGGGGCAGCTCCGAGGCGGGCAACCGGAAGCACGGCGACTTCGCGCTGCTCAAGGAGCTGCTCCTCAGCGAGCACACGGAGGCCCTCGTCGAGCACGCCAAGCACCGCTACGCGCTCTACCGCGCGCGCCGCGTGCAGAAGCGGAAGCTCGCCGACGCCGCGATCCGCGTCGGCGTCCTCGGCCTCCTCGCGCGCGTCTTCGCCGGCGGCGCCGCGCCGACCCTGGGCGGCTCCGTGGCCGCGGCGCTCGCGGCCGTCCGGTCGTTCCTCGCCGCCCTGACGCCGGCGCCGGGCGCGCCGCCGCCGCCGCCGCCGCCGCCGCCGCGGAAGCGCCGCTTCGAGTTCACGCGCCTCTTCGAGCGCTCGAAGGACGCGCCGCCGTCGCCCCTCAAGTTCTAACGCCGGGCCTAGAGCAGCGCCTTCTCGTCGATGATGCGGCGCGTGACGGCCTTGCACCGCTCGAGGATGCGGCTCCGGTCGCCGGGCGCCGCGGCGGCGAGGACGCGCTGGAACTTGTCCGGGTGGAAGCGCCGCAGCGCCGCGCGCCACTGGTCCTTGCGCGCGGCCGCGGGCGCCCGCGCGTCGACGATGCGGTCCGTGGCGAGGGGCCAGGGCACGTCGGCGACGGCCACCGCCGCGCCCGCGGCGAGCTTCGCCTCGAGCGCCGCCCACGTCGTCGCGTTTCGCGGCGCGCGCGGCGCGTCCGGCAGGCTCGCGACGGCGAGGCGGTCCTCGTCGTCCGCGGGGCGCTCGCCGGCGAAGGGCGCGCCGAAGTCGTCGTCGGCGGCGGCCGCGGCGCCGCGCGCCGCGCGCCGCGCGCGGTCGATCGCCTCGCGCCGCTCCCGCGCCTTCTCGCGGTCGACGAAGGCGTAGATGTAGTCCCACTTCTTCTCGAAATAGGCGAAGCACGCGTCGTCGTCGCCGCCGCCGTCGCCGCCGGGCGACCGCGGCCGCGCGCCCCGGCGCTCGTAGCGCCGGAGGCCCTCGAGCATGATCGGCGCGTCGTAGTTGAGGCCGCCGCTCCGGACGTCGGAGCGGCGATCGTCCGCGCGCCAGACGAGGTCCGCGTCGTAGGTCGCGAGCGCCGCGCCGAGCTCCGGCTTGCGGCGCCGCGGCCGCCCGGGCGCCCACGCGGCCTGCAGCGCCAGCAGCTCCTCGTCGACGGGGCCGCGGGGCGCTTTGAGCGCGCGCGCTCGTGCCCGTAAAGTCGTCGTTCCAGCCCTGCTTCGGCGGCCGCCAGCGCCGCTGGGACATGGCTAGGGCGGCAGCGCGCCGTCGAAGTCAGGGCTGCCGAAAGTCACCATCCCATCACGAAACCATCACGAAGCTTCACCATCGGCCAGAAAGTGAGGCTTATGGAATTCCTGCAGGAGCGGCTGCCCAGTGTGCCATGAGGCGACGCATGAGGCTCGCCCTGTGCGTCGCGCTGGCGGCCGCCGCGCCGCCGGCGCCGGAGGTCGTCTGCGACTTTGCGCGCACGAACCTCACGGTCGACGCGCGCTACGTCAGCGCCGTCCTCGACCCGAGCTCCCTGGCGCTCGACGGCGCCGCGTCCAAGTCCCAGTTCTCGGACCCGCGGGGCGCGGGCCTGCTCAACCTCACGCACCCGCGCCTCGTCGCGCTCGCGCGGCGCCTCGCGCCGGCGCTGCTCGTCGTCACGGGCGGCCGGTCGAACTGCGTCGGCGTCGTCGGCCGCGACGGCTACGCGAGCCCCTACTGCGCGCGCAAGCGCTACGCCGGCGTCCCGTGGCGAGCGATTTTAAGAACGTACCGTCGTGCAACGGTAGGCGCTACGCCGGCACGGCGTCGGCGCGCAATTTCGCGGCGCTCGGCGCGTTCGCCGAGGCCACGGGGACGGACCTCGCCTGGCACCTCAACCCGACGATCCGCGACGGCGCGGGCGTCTTCGACGGCGCGGCCGCGGCGTCGTTGCCCGCGGAGACGCGCGCCGTCCTGCTCTTCGAGGAGCTCCACCGGCGGCCGTCGGCGTCGAAGAGCAAGCTGAAAGAGGCGCCGACGGCCGCGAGCCTCGCGGCGGACTTCCGGTCCCTCCGGCGGTCCTTCGCGGGCACCGTCGTCGGCGTGCTCAACCAGGATGCCGACGAGGACGCGGCCTGGACCGACGAGGCCTACGCGGCGACGCGCGGCGACGTCGACCGCGTCGCGTTCTCCTACTACGCGTCGTCGGAGTTCCTGCCGCGGAAGCGCAAGCACGAGGGCTGCGCGGCCTACGGCGCCGCGCGCGCGGACGTCGCAGCGGGGGTCGTCGACGCGGGCCACGGCGCGCGCTTCGACGCCGTCGCGGCGCGCTACGCGGCCCTCGCGCGGCGCCTCGGCAAGCCCGCGCCCTGGGCGGTCGCGGTCGCGCCGTGCACGCACGCGCCCGAGGGCAGCGGCTTCGGCGCCGCGGACGCGGTCGCGGGCGCGCTCTGGCACGCGGCGCGGCGTCCGTCGTACGATCGCCGCTCGACCCCGGCTCGTAGGTACGCGGACCTCCTCGGCCGGGCCGCGGCCGCGGGCGTGGGGCTTCTCGCGCGGCAGACCCTCGCGGGCGGCGTCTACGGCCTGCTGGACTCGCGGACCTCTGTGCCGGAAACAACCAGTGAGCTGGACCCGTCTAGCAGAACTTCAAACCTCTCTATCTCTGCCAAATCGATGTCGATTGAAGTCATGTTGAATATTTTGTTTCCTGCCCAGGCGGACCTACGCGCCGACGCCGTCCTTCGACGTCGCGGAGACATTCTCGGCGCTCTTTGGCGCGGACGTGCTGCGCGCGTCCTGCGGACCCGCGCCGCCGGGGGTGTCGGTCTACGCGCACGCGGGCACACGAAGGGGCATCGTGGCCGTGCTCGTCGTCAACGCGGGCGCGCGGCCCGCCCGCGTGCGGCTCCCGCGCCACGAGGGGCCGCGCGCCGTCGTCCGCCTCGAGCCCGCGGGCGGCGGCGGCCTCGCGGCGCCGCGCTTCGCGAAGCGGGCGGCGACGGAGGCGCCGGGGGAGCCCCTCGACGCGCCGCCGTTCTCCGCCACCTTCGCGACGCTTTTAAACATGGGGGTGTGATGTCGCTTCTGGGGCGCCCTTGAAGCCGAGTTGACGGCAACGAGTCTGCAACGTTCAACGATCGGAGGCATCCTGACGCGGCCGGCAGCAAACCACGGCAGAGATCTCGACTGCGACCATGACCGCGTGCAAGCTCTCGCCCGCGATGCTCGTCGTCGCGCTGGCCGCCAGCGCCTGTGCGCTGCAAGCCACGAAGCCCTGCGCGCTGCGCGCCGCCGCGCCGCGGCGGACGGCGGCCCGCGCCACGACGACGGTGGACCGGGAGATGAGCGAGGCCCTGCCCTGGTGCGAGCGGCCCGCGGGGCTCGACGAGCTGAAGCGGGCCGAGTACGCCTTCGCCCTCACCGCCGGCGACTTCGGCTTCGACCCGCTGGGCTGGGCCGAGGTCGGCTGGGGCCTCAACGAGGGCGAGTCACCGCAGGAGCGCGACGACCGCTTGTACGCGTACCGCGAGGCGGAGCTCAAGCACGGCCGCGTGGCCATGCTCGCGGCCGTGGGCTGGCCCGTGTCCGAGCTCTTCGACGGCCGCCTGAGCGAGCGCTTCGCGCTGCCGAGCGAGCTCGTCGCGCCGGACGCGGCGGGCATCGGCCGGGGCGGGAAAAGGGTGCGAAATTCCCAACTTCAAAGGCTCCTATCTCGGCCGTTTTCCACTCGTTTCGGCTGATTTTTGGACGAGCGATCATCTCTCGGAACGGTCTCGAAGCGTGGATGCTTTTTCTGGAACGCGCGCGCGCGGATCGCTCACGTTGAAGCGACGTTGAATCACCCTTTTCCTGCCCAGGCATCGGCCTCGCGCCGTCGCTGCTCAACGGCGGCCTCGGCAAGGTCACGGCGGCCTACTGGCTCGCGGTGGTCGCCGGCGCGGGCGCCCTCGAGTACGCCGGGAGCTCGCGGCTCCGCGAGGCGGAGCGCGTCGGCGCGGTGCGCGCGCCGGGGGATCTGGGCTTCGACCCGCTCGGCCTCTGGCCCGACGACGGCGCGTCCGCGAACCTCCGGGAGTCGTCCCTCGCCTTCGACCTCGCGGAGACGCTGCGCGAGCGCCTCGACGCCGACGCGCAGGACGCGCTCGACGCGCTGGCCCTCGAGGAGGCGCTCGCGCCCGCGGCGCCGCGGCCGCTCTCCGCCGTCGAGGCCGCGCGGCGCGAGATCATCGGCCAGGAGCTCACGCACGGCCGCACGGCCATGCTGGCCATCGTCGGCTTCGCCGTCCAGGAGTTCGTCACCAAGGTGCCCGTCGTCGAGGAGACGCCCCAGTTCTTCATCCCCAACGAGGACGAGGTCCAGGCGGAGCTCGAGGTCGCGGAGGTCGCCCGCGTCGCCGTCACCGTGCTCGGCGACGTCCTCAAGGGCCTCTTCGGCTCCGCGTCCGCCGTCCTCGGCGAGGCCCAGGGCCAGCTCTACGACCTCTAGGGTAAGGCGATTCAAGGTCGTCCGCGCGCTCCTTTCGCCGCGGACGGCGTGGGCGAGGTCTCCCGACGCTAGTTCCCGTGGCGCGTCATTAAAGAAGAGGGGTGGGAAGGCGCCGGGAAGGGAACTCTCATTTCGAGGGCTCGCACGCGCGGAAGCTGGGTGCGGGCTCTCATTTCTTCGATTTGGAGCGGCGCGCCTTCTTGCGGGGCGGCAGTGGCGCCTTCGGCCAAACCCACGGATAGAATTTAGCACCGTTTCGGCCGTCATCAGATTGGGCGGAAACCAGCTTCGTTGCTTGTTTCTGCGTGACGCTTCCCAGTTTTTCCAAGGCGCTGCGTTTGCACTTAAATTCAATCTGACTAACCAGGCCGTACGCCCTCCACAAATGCCTCCGATCTGATGAGCCAGGAACTGCGGCAGTTTTGTCTGGACGATGGTCGCCTTTGAAGTCTTCGAGGTGATGTTCGATAATGGAATTCGAGGCATCGAGGAATACGGATGCGCAAGAAGCCTTGAAATCCATAACAGCATCATCTTCCAACGCCTTGGCACGCGTCACCTTTCTCATAAAATCCAGCTGCTCCGTCCAAGAAGCACCCATCATACCCATTATATCATCGGGAACCATCACCACGGAAACGTCGGCGTCCCCAACTTTCGACTTGTCTGTCATTACCACCAGCTGGACATCGGAGAATGCATCGAAGGGCTCGAAAGAGGCACAAAGGGAAGACGGGAGTCTCTCAATGAATGACTCTTTATAGTCTTCGGCGTCGCCCGACGAGAACGTGAAGTAGTCCGAACCGTCGGATAAGGTCGCGTTGTGCCCGCGGAGGGCCAATAGTATCGAGAGTCCGGCTAGGAAGCTCTTCGCGGCATCCACGCGCCCGACGACGGTGTCGGGGCAAGAGTGGCCCTGGCGCAGGAACGCGCGCACGATGCCGAAGCAGCTCTCCGACATGTTGCGGAGCTTGAACAAAAGCGCCGTGGACACGGCGTTCTGATCTGACTCGCGTGATTTCCGATTCGCTTCCTCTTTGGCCGCATCCATGACACCCGTCGCGACGCCTAGGGGGAAGAGTCCTCAAACCGTCGTGCGACTGAACGTCTGACGCGCCCGGGGGTGGGCGCGCTGAGATCGAGCAGCCATCGAGTCCACCATCAGCGCTGTCCCTTGCTCCCGTCCGCGTTCCACCGGCGACACATGCTCACGGCGCTCCGCCGCTGCCTCGTCCCACTCGCTTGCGTGCGAGTGTCGACGTCGCTGCTCAGCCCGCGCGTGCTCGTCCGCCCTCAGCACCTGCGCGGCGGGTCGCTGGCCCACTCGACGCTCGCCGAGGCGCCCATGGAGAAGTTCCGCAAGGACTACGCGGCGCTGCCCTACGACGTCGTGTCCGTGGACCTGGACTTCGACGTCGGCGCCGAGGAGACGCTCGTGACGTCGACGCTCGCGCTCGCGCCGGCCGGCGGCGGCCCGCTCGTGCTCGACGGCGAGGACCTGCGGCTCGTGAGCGTCGCCGTCGACGGGGCGCCCCTGGCGCCGTCGGCCTACGAGGTCGGCGCCGAGACGCTGACCATCGCGGCGCCGCCGGCGCAGCCCTTCACGCTCACGACCGTCGTCGGCATCAAGCCCGCGGAGAACACGCAGCTCAGCGGCCTCTACGAGTCGAGCGGCAATTTGTGCACGCAGTGCGAGGCCGAGGGCTTCCGGCGCATCACCTACTTCTACGACCGGCCCGACTGCATGGCGAGCTACACGTGCCGCGTCGAGGCCGACAAGGCCAAGTACCCCGTGCTCCTCTCGAACGGCAACGAGGTCGCGCGCGGCGACGCGGACGGCGGCCGCCACTGGGCGCGGTTCGAGGACCCCTTCAAGAAGCCGTCCTACCTCTTCGCGCTCGTCGCCGGCGACCTCGGCGGCATCCGGGGGTCCTTCACGACGAAGAGCGGCCGGGCCATCGACCTGCGGGTCTGGTCGGAGCACGAGAACGTGGGGCAGCTCGACTGGAGCCTCGAGGCGCTCAAGAAGGCCATGAAGTGGGACGAGGACGTCTACGGCCTCGAGTACGACCTCGACGTCTACCACATCGTCGCCGTCAACGACTTCAACATGGGCGCGATGGAGAACAAGGGCCTCAACGTCTTCAACACGGCGTGCGTCCTCGCCGCGCCGGAGACGGCGACGGACGGCGACTACGACCGCGTGCTCGGCGTCGTCGCCCACGAGTACTTCCACAACTGGTCCGGGAACCGCGTGACCTGCCGCGACTGGTTCCAGCTCACGCTCAAGGAGGGGCTCACGGTCTTCCGCGACCAGCACTTTACGGAGGACATGACGTCGCGCGCCGTGAAGCGCGTCGACGACGTCCGGGTCATGCGCAGCGCCCAGTTCGCCCAGGACGCGGGGCCCATGGCGCACCCGATCCGCCCGGAGTCCTACGTCGCCATGGACAACTTCTACACGGTCACGGTCTACAACAAGGGCAGCGAGGTCATCCGCATGTACCGCACGCTGTTGGGCTGGGACGGCTTCCGCAAGGGCGCGGACCTCTACTTTTCGCGCCACGACGGCTCGGCCGTGACCTGCGACGACTTCCGCCAGGCCATGGCCGACGCGACGGGCCGGGATTTGGCCCAGTTCGAGCGCTGGTACACGCAGGCGGGCACGCCGACGGTCACGGCGGCGCCGGGGACCGTCGTCGACGGCGCCTACGCCGTCGCGCTGTCCCAGGCGACCAAGGGCACGCCGGGGCAGGAGGACAAGGCGCCGTTCCACGTGCCCATCGCCGCGGCGCTCCTGGACCGGGCCGCGGGCGCCGTCGTCGCCGAGGCGACGTTCGAGCTCACGGAGGCGTCGCAGACCTTCTCCTTCGGCGCCGTCGACGAGGGCGCGGCGGACTACGTGCTCTCGCTGAACCGCGACTTCTCGGCGCCCGTGACCATGGTCGTCGAGGGCCAGACGGCCGAGGACCTCCTCTTCCTCGCGACGTACGACACGGATCCCGTGAACAAGTGGGACGCGACGCAGCGCCTCGGCGCCGCGGCCGTGCTCGACGCCTTCGCCGGCGCCGAGGCCGCGGACGCGTCCTTCGCCGCGCTGGCCCGGGCCTTTGGGGCGACGCTGGAGGACGAAGCGGGCGACCCGTCGCTCCGCGCGCTCAATCTGGCGCTGCCGGGCTTCTCGGAGCTGAGCTTGCAGCTCGACGACGGCTTCGACCCGGGCCTGCTCTGCGCGGCGCTCAAGGCCGTGAAGCGGCAGCTCGCCGCGGCCTTCGAGGCCGAGCTCGCCGCGCTCTACGACTCCCTGGCGAGCGACGCGGCCTTCTCCGTCGACGCCGCGGAGGTGGGCCGGCGGCGCCTGCGCAACGCGTGCCTCGGCATCCTGAGCCGGTTGGACGGCCAGGAGTTTCGCGCGGCCGCGCACTACGACGCCGCGGACTGCATGACGGACCGCCTCGCGGCGGCCGTCGCGCTCGCGGGCGCGGCGTCGCCGGAGCGCGACCGCGTGCTCGGCGACTTCTTCGCGACCGCCAAGGCGTCCAAGGCCGACCTCGTCGTCAACAAGTGGTTCGCGCTCCAGGCGTCGGCGGACGCGGACGACGCGCTCGCGACGGTGCGGGCGCTCGTCGCCCATCCGGACTTCACGCGGACGAACCCGAACCGCTACCGGTCCGTCGTCAACACCTTCGCGGGCGCGAACCCCGCGGCGTTCCACGCGGCCGACGGCGGCGGCTACGACTTCGTCCGCGACGAGGTCATCGCGACGGACAAGCTCAACCCGCAGGTCGCCGCGCGCCTCGCGGGCGCCTTCGGCAACTGGCGCAAGTTCGACGCGCCGCGCCAGGCGAAGATGAAGGCCTGCCTCGAGGCCATCCGCGACGCCGCGGGCCTCTCCAAGGACACGTACGAGATCGCGTCCCGGTCCCTCAAGTAGGGCGCGCGATATCTCCCCAAGTAAGCCGCGCGAGCCTTACACGACCGCCGCCCTACATGAAGAAGCTCGAGGGGAGGGGGTTGGACGGGAGCGCGCCCGCGTAGTCGCCCGCGAAGCCGAGGCCCGCGAGCACGGGCACGGAGCCGGGGATCTTCGACGCGGCGACGAAGGAGGCCATGCCGAGCATGGCGAGGCGCCCGTTCTGGAGCTCCATGTCCCGCTTCGTCTTCCGCGTCGCGGCGTCGTACTTGGCCATGGGGTCGTAGCCCGGGCCGCCGGCCTCCTCGTGCCACGGCGCGACGCCGCGCGTGAGGCGGACGGCGCCGGGCGTGCCGCCGCGGAGGTAGTGGGGCTGCTGCGACTCGAAGACGTACTCGATGGCGCCGACCGTCGAGATGATCTGCAGCCGGCCCGCCGCGGGCGTCTTGTCCCAGAACTCGAGGAGCTGGCCCGTGCCCACGGACGCGAAGGAGTCGCCCTGGAGGTCGATGGCGCCGGGGAAGTGGCCGCCGAGGCCCGTGACGACGCAGCCGAGGAACGCCGCCATGGCCACGCGGCCGTGCTTGATCTCCGCCGCGCGGTACCAGTTCAGCGTCTCCTCGGACGCCGACTTGGACAGGCCCAGCGGGTCGAAGAAGCCCACGGGCGCGAGGATGCCGTCCATGGAGCTCGCGTCCGCGCGGAGCGCGCCCGCCGCGGGCGCCGAGGCCTGCGGGGCCACGAAGGCCGAGGCGGGCGCGAGGGCGGCGAGGGCGAGGACGAGCTTCATTTTTGGGACCTGCGGCGCGAAGCACATCAGGGCGCGGCCGGGAGCCGATCGATGGGAGAGATAGGGCTGGGGCGCGCGGAAATTGGAGCCCATGGCGGGTTTCGGGAGAGCGTCGTCCTGGGCGCGAACCACAGGACGCCCCGAAGCTTCAGCGCCCGGCGCCGACTTAAGCATCGATGGCCGGACGTGTTGCAACGGGTTTGGGTGGGGTAGGCGCTGCCGGGGCCGCATCGCGCGCGGAAATTGGATCCCCATCGCACCTTGAGCAGCGGATCGGGCGGACTGGGTGACGAGGTCGGTCGTGCCGGAGAGGCCGCCCGATCGATGGCCGCGTCGCGCGCAGCGGCTGCCGCAGCCTCAGCCGGAGTCGCAGCCGCCGCGGCGGCCTACCACTTCAGGGACGACGCGCCGCCGCTGCACAGCGCTCTCCAGCCCGGCAGGCAGCTCGTCTGCCCGCTCGTCGCCAAGACGCCGCTGACCCCCGACACGTCGCGCTACCGCTTCGCGCTGCCGACGCCGGCGCACTCGCTGGGCCTGCCCGTGGCGAGCCACGTCCTCGCCGTCGACGCGGGCAACATGTACCGCGAGTACACGCCCGTGACGCTCGACGGCGTCGACGTCGGCTACTTCGACCTGGTCGTGAAACGCTACGCGAACGGCTACTTCTCGGAGCGGTTCGCGCGGCTCGAGCCGGGCCAGACCATGCGCTTCAGCGGCCCCGTCGTGACGCTGCCCTACGCGGCGAACGCCGCCGACCGCGTCGCCATGGTCGCGGGCGGCACGGGGATCACGCCGATGCTGCAGATCGCGCGCGCGAGCCTCCGGGACGACGGCGACGCGACGAAGTTCGCGCTCCTCTACGCGAACCGCACGCCGGGGGACATCCTGCTGCGCGCCGAGCTCGACGCGCTCGCGGCGGCGCACCCGGACCGCTTCTCCGTGCGCTACGTCGTCGACGAGTCCGACGGCCGCGCGGACGTCGACGCCGTCGGCCGCGTCGACGCGGCGCAGGTCGCGCGGTTCCTGCCGCCGGCGTCGGCGCCGCGCACGCTGGTCCTCGTCTGCGGCCCCAAGGGCTTCGTCGCGCACCTCTGCGGCGCGCGCGCGCGGCCCGGCGGCGGGCCCGTCGGCGGGCTCCTCGGCGCGCTGGGCTACGACCGGGTCGTGCCCTTTGGCTAACACGTGTTTTTCTTACCCGACCTTGGCCTTGACGGCGTCGGCGCCCGCGAACATGAGCTCGTAGTCCTCGAGCTGCGCCCTGAGCGTCTCGTGCTCGCCGAGGAGCTTCAGGTACATGTCCGACGAGCTCTCGGCCTGGCGCTTCATGGCCTCGAGCTCCTTGCCGTGGCTCGTCTCCGCCGCCTCGAGCGCCTTGAGCGCCGCCTCGAGGCCCCGCGCGTACGCGGCCGCCGCGAGCTTGTGCTTCTGGAGGCACGCGAGGGCCTTGCCCTTGCGCGCCCAGCCCTTGGGCCACTCCGGCGCGAGGCGCGCCGCCTCCTCGGCGTCGAGCAAGGCCTCGCGGTAGAGCTCGACGCCGACGAGGGCCGCGGACCGGTTCGCCAGCAGCCGCGCGCGCTCCGCGGTCTGGCTCGTGCCCTGGCACTGCTCGAGGCCGTAGGTGTAGTGCATGATCGCGTCGTCGAGCTTCTTCTCCTTGAACGACGCGTTGCCCAGCTCCTTCTCGTCGGGCCTGCGGAACCAGTTCATCGTTTGGATCCCCGAGGAGAGGCCCTCTATAAGCTGCCCCCAAAAGTCAATGAAAAAATGGTTGCCCTTCAAGGAGGCCTTCAAGGTGAGCATCCTCCGGATCGATATCCCATATAGAAAATAGTTATATTATGGAAAAATTAAAGTCAGTCGCATATTCCAGCGATTTCATTGGTCGAGGACAGAAGATAACACGTATTCTTTGTCCGACGCCACACGCTGCGGTACCTGGAAGTATTTTTGTGAATGGGTGGCCTCGGGACGCCGCCAGGTGCCCTTCATCGCAATTTTGAAGAAAATGGTGCGTCTCGGACAAAAGATCGCTACTCTGGTTTTCATAGCTTGACTATTTTCTATATGCGGATCCGGTACAGGTACCGCAGCGCCGAATAGCACACAGGAGGGTCCAGCTTACCAGGACACCCTACTGGATCCGCTGGACGGGCGGCCCGCCGTCCGTCGTGCCGCCGGGCCCGCAGAACTTGGCGATGGGCGCCGGGTGGTGGTAGGAGACGTGGGGCCGCATGGGCGCGACGTCCTTGGGCGCGATGAACGTGTTGACCTGGAGCGTGCGGAAGATGGCGTCGCCCATGCCGCCGCCGCCGCACTTGCCCGCGCGGGACCGCTGGGGGAACGCCTCGCAGAGGAACGCGTGGGACCGCTCCGCGAGGAGGAAGAACTCCCACTGGAGCGGCGTGCGGAACGCGCGCATGTCGACGATCTCGAAGTTGTTGTAGAAGGCCGGGCAGCGCGGCGCGCCGCCGGCCTTGCCCTTGCAGAGGGGCACGGGCAGCTTGATCTGCGACGGGTCATCGGGCACGTGGAGCGGGCAGTGCATGGAGCAGCCGCCCGCCGCGGGCTTGCCCTTGGGCCCCGGGCCGCCGCCCTTCTGCGTGAGCGGGCAGGCGACGCCCTGGCCGGGGCAGGCGTCGCGGCCGCTCCAGGCCCGCGTCGCGAACGTCTCGCCGGGGTGGAGCGCGGCGATCTTCGCGGGGAGGGCCGCGGGCCCGCCGATGATCTCCTTGTAGTTGCCGCCGTAGTTCGCGTACTTGAAGCCCCGCGTCGCCATGTGCTCGAAGGGGTCGAGCTGCACGGCGGAGAGGCGCGAGTCGCCGTCGATGCGCAGGTAGAAGTCGAGCTTGCGCGTGAGCGGCGCGTGGTGGATGAGGCCTACGCGCGCCGTCGGAAAAGGGAAACCGCCGCGGACGCCGGGCCTCCGCGCCGGCGTAGAAGCGGCACATGAGCATGTAGCCGAAGCCGTGGATGTTCGCCTTCGTGGCCTGGTTCAGGTCGCCCTGGACGTGGAGCTCGCGCCAGCCGGCGACGGTGCGGTTCACGTCGTAGAGGTAGGGCGGCAGCGCCGACGGCCCGAAGACGACGCGCTGCCACCACGCTTTTACGGCGGGGTCCGCGCGCGTCCCGCGGCCGTTGAGGCCCGCGGCCCGCTCGAGGATGGCCCGGTCGTCGGACGTCCAGTCCGCGTGGTAGAGCAGGATCGGGTACCTGCGCGATGGGTTCGTCCCCGGGCGCGCCGCGCGCCCGCTCCCCGCGCCGCGGCCGCGCTTCGGGTACTTGGCGAGGAGGCTGCCCTTCTGGAGGAGGCTGCCCACGGACCGGATGGCCTGGTCGATGTAGGTGCAGGCGCCCCACTTGGCGTTCTGCTTGTAGGGCTTGCCGTTGAAGCGCAGGTCCTTGAGCAGGAAGACGATGCCCGCGCGCGGGCCGCTCCGCGACGAAAAGTAGTCGTCCATGGCCGCCTCGTTGGCCGCCGTCGCGCCGTCGACGGCGAAGACGCGGCTCACCATGTCCTCGAGGTGCGGGTGCGACTCCGGCGTCGCGTAGTCGTTCGACGCGCCGGCGACGGCGAGCAGCGCCGCGAGCACGACGCGCCGCGACATCGCGGGCAGCTTGCAACGGGACGAGGTGAGGTCTGCACCGTCGGGGCACTGTAGCGAATCGTCGTCATAGCTGGCGCGAGATCGCACGCGCAATAGCTGCAAGCCTCCTCCGGTCTCGTCCATCTCGAAGCCCCTACAAACGATGAAGCTCGCTTTCGCCCTCCTCGCCGGTTCCGCCGCGGCCTTCGCGCCCCAGCAGTCGGGCGCCGCCCTCGGCGTGCGCTCCACGGTCGTCGTGAACGGGTGAGAACCTACCGCTTCTCTCTGACGCTCTCCTTCCGCGCTGACGCGGCGCCCCCCCCGTCCCGCGCAGCTACGTGCCCAACGGCCTCACGGAGGCGCAGTACGTGCGCCCGCGGCGTCCGAGAAGTCGGGGGTCGCCGGGGGCGCCGATCTGGATTTTTCCCCCGACGCCCGCTTCCGCGCGGAAACGGAGCCAACGGCCTCAATCTTCCCCCCTCGCAGAAAGCCCAGCTCGCCAAGGAGTCGGCCGCCAAGGGGCAGAACAAGCAGCGCTTCCCCAAGGGCAAGGCGACCCTCGGCATCGACAAGTGGCTCCAGCAGATGGAGGCGGCGCAGGTCCTCGACGGCGACAACGTCAAGCGCTCGGGCCACACCTACGCCAAGAACAAGTTCGAGACCAAGGAGCAGTTCGACGCCGCCAAGGGCCGCACGGCCGCCGAGGCCAAGGCCAAGAAGCCCGGCTTCCTCAACTGGTAGGCGACGCGACCAAGCTGGCGTCCCGGCCCACGCCCCGCCGCGTCGACACCGGCGCGTCGATGCGAGCCGAGCGGTTGTGTGCATAATGATGATGACAGAAGTTACATCGGGGGTGGGAGGAAGACCCGATCGTCGCTTTCCGGGGCGGTCGCGATCGATATCGACTTCGATATCGATATGCGGCGTCGCCGCCGGCGCCGCGTCGTCGTCGTCGGAGACGGCGTACGTGACTCCGACTGTCGGAGGCCCGGGGACTCCTCGAGAGTCGGGGCGTCCCTGCTGAAATACCCACGCTGCGTAGGTTAGTCGCTATCGCTCCCATCGTCGCTCTCGCCGTCCGAGGCGTCGTCCCGCGGCGCGTCCGCCTCCTCGTCGTCGGAGCTATCGTCGGAGCTGCTGCTGCCGTCGTCGCCGCCAGCATCGCCGCCCGCGGCCGCTTTGGCGGCGGGCTTGTCCGTCTTTTCCTCGACCCTCTTGAAGTCGAGCCACCGGCCGCCGGCGCCGGCGCACTTCGTGCCCGAGAGCGCGAGCGCGGCGTCGGCGGCGGCGACGGTCTCGAAGGTCGCGTAGGCCTGGCCCGTCTTGCGGCCGCCCTTCTTGAGCGTCGCGACCTTGACCGGCGCCGCGGCGCCCTGGTCCGCGAAGAAGTCCGCGAGGACCTCCGCCGGGTTCGCGCTAAAGGGCAGCCCGCTGACGAAGAGCTTGCACTTGAGCTTGCGCTTCTTGTCGCGCTGGATGTAGCGCGAGTTGACGCGCTTCTTCGGCGCGTCGCCGGGCTCGCCGGGCGCGCCCGCGTCGTCGCCGTCGGCGACGGGCCGCGAGAACTTGCACCGCTTCATGCCCGTGTCCCCGCGCTTGATCTTGTGCTTCTTCATGCGGCCGCAGATCCAGCGCTGCTCCGGCGCGTCGCCGGAGAAGAAGCGGCGCTTCATCGCGCGGAGGCCGCAGTGGCACTTGATGCGCGCCTCCTCGGTCGACACGCACGGGTTCGGCTTCGCCGCGGGCTTCGGCGCCTCGGCGGCGTCGCTCGCGGGCGCGGGCTTGGGGGCCTTGGGCTTCTTCTCGCAGAGGCCGCACTCGTAGACCCAGTGGCCCGGCTCGCTGCAGAGCTTGCAGACGTAGCCCGCGGGCGGCTCCTTGCGCTTCCGCTTCGGCGGGGGCGGCGTCGCCGCGGCGGACGTCAAAGCGGCCATGGCTTCGATCGATTGCGGCGCCTGATGCGTTTCGCGGCGGTCTCGGTCGCGAGGGGGGGGCGCGACGGCGCGATGGCAGGCGGCGGCGCGCGCGTGAGGGCGTCGAGAGCGCGTCGTCGCCAAGTTGAGGAGCAACGTTAAAATTTTACCCTGAAGAATGCGCTTGCAGCCCGAAGCATGGTCGTCCCCTGGGAGCTCCACAACAACGTCAACGCCTGCTCCATCCCGCGGGCTTCCGGCCTGCGCTACGTCGGCAGCGCCGCGTCCATCGCGCACTGCTCTGAAGCTGCTGCGGCCTGGCGCAATGCGACGGCGCCGGCGGAGCGCTGCCGCGCCGCCTGCTGGCGCGCGGACACGTTGGAGAGCAGCGTGGACGGGGAGATGACGGGCTACGTCGAGGAACTCGCGTCTGTCGGCGCCTGCGCCTGCGTCGCGGACGCGGAGTGGTTCCCGGCGCCCGCCGACGGCGCGGCCTCGAGCCGCCTGCTCTGGCCCTGCGACTCGCGCGACGACTGCGCGCACAACGGCGACTGCGGCCGCGACGGCGCGTGCTCCTGCGACGCCGGGTGGACGGGTCCGTACTGCGAGCGGCTGGACCTCGGCGACGTCGACGGCGCCGCGCTCGGCTACCGCGCGTCGGACGCGTCGAGCTGGGGCATGCCCGTGCTCCACGCCGGCGGCCGCTTCCACGGCTGGGCCTCGGAGATCGCCGGACAGTGCGGCATCAACGCGTGGGAGACGAACAGCCGGATCGTCCACGTCGTCGCCGAGGCGGCGGCGGGCCCCTACGAACGGCGCGAGGTCGTGAGGGACGCCTTCGCCCACGAGCCGGACGTCGTCCGGGGGCCCGACGGCTCGTTCGTCATGGCCTACTCGTCGTTCCCCCTCGACGGCGCGTCGACGCCGAGCCGGAACGCGAGCTTCTGCGGCGGCTGCGCCAACGGCGCGACGCCGCCCGTCGGCGGCGCCTGCCCCTACCAGCGCGGGACGCCGCGGGCGCTGCGCCACGAGTTCAGGCAGATGCTGGCGGTCGCGGCGGGCCCCGACGGGCCCTGGACCGACGTCGGCGAGATCGCGGCGCTGACCGCCGCCTGGGACTGGAACACGGCCCTGACGATCGACGGCGACGGCGCCGCGCTGGCGCTCATCCGCGGCGGCATGACCTGGCGCGCGGCGAACTACGACGACGCCGCGACGTGGCGCGCGGTCGGCGGGTCGCCCGAGGGGCCCCAGTGGGACGTCGGCGTCGAGGACCCGACCATCTGGCGCGACGCGCGGAACGGCTCGATCTACCACGCGCTCGCGCACGTCTTCCGGCCGTTCTACGGCGCGCACGCCTGGGCGTTCGCGCCGCCCGACCGCGACTGGTCCACACCGCTCGACTGGCGCGTCACGGGCGTCGCCTACGACAACGTCGTCAACTTCACGGACGGCGCGTCGCGCGCCTTCGCGCGCCGCGAGCGGCCCCACCTCGTCTTCGGCGAAGACGGCGCGACGCCGGTGGCGCTCTCGACGTCCGCGCAGCCGGAGGGGCCGCCGGGCGCGCCCGGCGTCGACGCGACCTTCACCCTGCTGCAAACACTAAAAACGCGCCGTTAGTACCCGAAGACGCGGAGCTTGACCGTGTCCGCGGAGCCGCCCTTCTCGCCCGTGAGGATCGTGTAGCGCCCGCGGCCGCGGATCTTGTCGTTGTCCCAGATGCCCTCGTAGGAGTTGCCGTTGAGGTAGGTCATGACGCCCGGCCCGTGGCGCATGTTCTTCCAGTAGCGCCCGCGGTAGACCGTGCCCGACGCGGAGAGCTCCGTGCCCTCGCCGTGGCGCATGTTGTCCTGCCACTGGCCCTCGTACTGGGACCCGTCGGGCCAGACGTAGAGGCCGCGGCCCGTCATGCGCTCGTTGACCCAGTCGCCCTTGTAGTAGCCGCCGTCGCGGTACTCGAGCTGGCCCTTGCCGTGGCGCAGGTTCGACAGCCAGTCGCCGTCGTAGGACTTCATGGCGTCCTGCTCGCGGTACCGGTAGACGCCGCGGCCCTGCCGGAGGCCGTCCTGCCACTCGCCCTCGTAGGACTCCTCGAGGATCGTGGTCGGCATGTAGACGAGCTTGCCGTAGCCGTGCTGGATGTCGTCGAGGAAGTCGCCGTCGTAGGTGTTGCCGTCCGCGAAGGTGAAGAGGCCGCGCCCGTTCTTCTTGTTGTCGCGCCAGCGGCCGACGTAGTGGTGGTTCGTCGTGTGGTAGGTCATCTCGCCGGCGCCGTCCATCTTGTCCTTCAGGAAGTCGCCGACGTAGACGTTGCCCGACGCCCAGGCGTAGGTGCCGCGGCCCTCCTTCATGTTCCGCGCGAACTCGCCCTTGTACGTCGCGCCGTCCGAGAACACGAAGATGCCCTTGCCGTGGATGTCGTTGTCCTTCCACCAGCCGTCGTAGCGCGAGCCCGAGGCGAAGACGTAGGACCCCTTGCCGTTCTTCTTGTCGTCGACCCAGGACCCGGAGTAGGCGTTGCCCCAGGCCGTGTACCAGTAGACGCCGTGGCCCGTCGCGACGTTGCCGCGGAACGTGCCGTCGAAGAAGTCGCCGTTGGCGAAGAAGTAGCGGCCCTGGCCCTCCTTGACGGACTTGACCCAGGCGCCGCAGTAGCGCTCGCCGTCGGGGCTCACGTAGACGCCGTAGCCCTCGTGGTGGCCCTCGCGCCACGCGCCCGCGTACTTGCTCCCGTTCGGGTACAAACAGACGCCCCGCCCGTCCCTCAAATTGTCGCGGAACTCGCCGCGGTAGATCTCGCCCGTCGCGAAGGACAACACGCCCCGCCCGCTCGCGACGCCGTCGCGCACCTCGCCAAAGTACGCGTCGCCGTTCGCCTTGGAGAAGCGGCCGAGGCCCTCGGGCTTGTTCCGCACGAACGTGCCCTCGTAGGCGTCGCCGTTGGCGCTCGCGAGCTTGCCGACGCCGTGCATGAGGCCCTGGTCCCACTCGCCCTCGTAGAGCTCGCCGCAGGGGTGGAAGACGCAGCCCCAGCCGTGCCTCTTGCCGCCGCGCCACTCGCCGACGTATTCCCTCCCGTCGCCCGACGTGAAGATGCCCTCGCCGTGGCGCATGTTCCGCACCCACTCGCCGACGTAGCGCCCGCCGTCGGCGTAGGTGCAGGTGCCGAAGCCGTCGAAGCAGCCGTCGACGCAGTGGCCCTCGTGGCGGCCGCCGCCGCGGAAGACGCGGAGCGACACGCCGTTCCGCTTCGGGTAGACGTGCTTCAGGAACTCGTCGAGGTTGTCCCCGACGGGCTCGACGCTCAGGTACTTCTCCGGGTTGAGCCGGCGCTTCTTCTGCTCCTCGCGCTCGAGCTTGCGCGCGAGCTCGCGGCCCACGGGCGAGTTCCACGACGCGCCGCCGGGCGGCGGCGGGCCCTGCATGGCGCCCATGCGGTCCCCGGGCCGGTCGCCGGGCAGGGACCCGCCGCCGGGCGCGGCGCCGTGGGCCCGCGACGCGCCCGTCAGCGTCGCGAGCCGCCGCCGCTTCGCGGACTCGGAGTCGGGGTCTAAAGGCGCGTCGACGTCCGACTCGCCGAGGAGCCCGGCCGCGACGTCGTTCTCCTCGCCGAGGTGGAACGCGCGGTGCCACTCCTCCTCGGCGGCGTCGACGGAGAGCAGCTGGTCCTTCTCGTGCTGCTTCTGGGCCTCGTAGATCTGGTCCCGCGCCTTCAGGCTCGCCGCGATCTCCGACGGCCGGCACCACGTCGACCGCCACGTGTCCGTGTTGAGGAACCAGAGCGCGTTCGTCTCCGGGTCGACCATCTCCGTCCAGCCGCCGGACACGGCCGTCACGTGGGACCGGTCCTTCATGCGCAGCAGCGCCGCCATGGATTTCACGACGCTCGCCTTCTGCCACCGCTTCTGCTGCGCGACGCGGCGGCCGAGCAGGCCGCGCGAGTGGCGCTCGACGAGGAGCGCGGCGCGCACCTCGCGCCGCTGGCGCTTCGCGCGGAAGCGGCCCCGCATGCCCCGGAAGGCCGCCTCGAGGCAGACGCTGGCGCGCTCGAAGCGCGCCTGCGTGTCGGCCTTGAGCTGCTCATTCTTCGCCTGGGCGTTGGCGACCTGCTCCGAGATCCAGTTCTGGTTCTCCACGAGCCGCCGCTTGCTCAGGCGGTCCTCGCGGTTCCGCGCGATGCCCACGCGCATGGTCCCCGGCGCGCGGGGCCGCCCACGGGCGGCGCGGGCTGCCCCAGCCCGTTGACGCCGCGCTAGGAGAGCTGCACGCTGCACGGCAACAACGATTATTTGACCCGGACGTTGCTGTTCCACGCGGAGGGCGGCGCCGTGCAGGGCGTGCGGCGCCGCGGCGGCAGCTTCGGGATCTTGGGCCGCGACGACGGCGGCGGCGGCGGCCAGTGGGACCGGCCCGCGGGCCGCCGCGCGTCCGCCGTCCGCGGCGCCGCGGGCTCCGCCCCCCGGCCCGCGGGCCGCCGCGCGTCCGCCGCCGGCGGCCCCTCCTTCTCCTTGTCGGGCGTGATCTTCCGGGGCTCGTCGGCCCGCGGCTGCGTCTCCGACGCGTAGAGGTCGTCGACGGCGGCGACGGCGCGGCGGAGCGAGTCGCGCGCGCGGTCCGCGACGACGACGACGGGCCGCCCGTCGCCGAGGTCGAGCGCGGGCGGCGGCCGCGGGTCGAGGTCCCGCTTCGTCGCCGGCTTCGCGCGGCGGGCGTCGTGCTTCGCCCGCGGGGGCAGCGCCGCCTGAGCGTCGCCGCGAGT